GTCAACGAGTCAACACCAACTGTAGGAGAAGACATAGCAAGAGACTGAGTCATTCAAAGCCAAAGAAAAATCAACTTCTCTCTGCCCTCCAAAGATCAGAAGGACTTAGAAGGACTTAAGAGTTCATAAAGTTGGGGAACTCAGATGAACTGGGACATGTGCTATTTTCCTAGAAATCCTCTCTCTCTGTCTCTGATTTTATTCTTACTCTTTAAAGAACTTAACTCACTAAAACGCCTTATCTGGCCCCCATCTTTTTTGGGAGGGAAATTCATCTACCCCACGATGGCACAATTCAACAGAGATCAAGCTGGGATATCTCTTACTCACCAAAACAACAGGGATTTTGAAAATAACTAACATAAATCTAAATTTACCTGCAGCAATGGGAAATAAACAGACCCAGAGTATGCCCTGTGCCAAATATTTCATGAATTTGGCCTCAATTGTTGTATCTATAAAGCAGAACTAACCTCTTCTGCTCTCTCTCTGAACTACTTGGTAGAATATGATAGTCTAGACTCTTTTGAAAGAGACAAGAGCAATTCAAATTCCCCTGTTGGGCTCTGTATTTTCACTCAGGCGATCTTTGTCATTGGGGCATGTTCGATAGAATTTCACCAGGGACCAGAGAAGGTGACATCTAGAAAAGGCAACAAACCACAGGCTCCCGTGGTCTTGAAGAGGCCTGGGAGAGAGGCACATGGTGAGTGTCCAGTGCCTCTGTGCTGGGCAGCCAGGGGGTCCTGGGCTTGAACATCGGCACAGCTAAGACAAGACTTGCACCCTTGCAACTGGCACCTCCTTCTTGGGTTCAAGCCACTACTTCTTCTCTTTACAGAGAATCCCATGGTTTTGGAGGACAGAAGTGGGGGTGGAGAGGGAGAGTGATGGTAGGGGACAATTTTAATTGCAGTGTTCGTGACAAGCTGTGGGTTGCATAGCCCAGGGGCTATCCAGGCCCTCTGGTTAACCTGGGGGTTCAGAGTGGTATCTGCAAGAAGAGCTCAATTTCTCCATGGGTATGGGGCCCTTATGAGGAAACCATCTTCTGAGCTCATTGTGGTTGCTGTGAAGAAATTATTTCCCTAGTTAGCGGGCGATCAGGAGTTGGCGTAGCCATAGGCCTCTGTGCACGGACAGCAGTATCTGGACTATGAGCTCTGGGCTGACTCCCCACCACAGAGCAGAAGATGCTGATGTCTCTGCACAGCTTCTCTGACCACACAGATGTGCCCTACATGATGATGTCACATGCAGTTCAAGTCATGAACCACCCTCATCATGTGGCTGGAAGGTCCACCTCTGAGATGGCTTCCTCAGTCGTATGTCTGGCACTTGAGCTGGGATGGCTGAAGGCTGACTCAGCTGAAGTTGTCAGCTGGAGTGATCTACGTGTGGGCCTCCTGGGATGGCAGTCTCGGGGCTCAAAGGTGGGGGAGTGTTCCTGGTGAACAAGATGGAAGCTGCATGGCCTTTTATGGCCTAGACACAAAAGTCATATCACTGCTTTTCCATCATAACCTATTAAGCAAAGCAGCCACGAGCCTGTCTGCATTCAAGCGGAGGGGGCCTAGATCATACCTCTCCATGCGAGGCGTGCTAAAGAAACTGGCCATGTTTTAAAATCACTGTAGTAGCATTTTATCTGTAAGTGTTTGTATTAGTTTCTAATTGCTGCTGTAACAAATTGCCACAAATGCAGTGTCTTAAAACAACATAGATTTATTTCCTTATGGTTCTAAAGGTCAGAAGGCTGCCATGGGTCTCCGTGGGTTAATAGACCCAAGGTGTCTGCTGAACTGCATTGCTTTTTGGAGGCTCTAAGGCAGAATATATTTCCCAGTCTTTTTTGTTTGCGGGTTGGGCGGGGAGCGGTGGGTGGGGGGAGCTTCTAGAGGCTGCCCACATTCCTTGGTTGCACCGACCTTATGGTGGCATTGGACCCACACAGATAATCCAGAAGGGCCTCTCCATATCAAAATCGATCGATTAGCCATCTTCATTTCTCCCTGCCGTGCAACACGCTCACAGGCCCGAGGGGTTTGCACGTGGGCATCGTTGTCAGGGGTGGGGTGGTCATTATTCTGCCTACCACAATATTTTAGTCTGTATCTCAAAAACAAGGATCGAAAAACCACAGTCACAACACCATTGCTTGCTTTCCATCTGTCTGTCCTCTTCAGTGACCTGTCTGTTCATGACTTTTGCCCATTTTCAAATTGGTTTTTTTATTTGTTTTCTCTGCTGAGTATTGAGAGTTCTTTATATATTCCAAATACAAATCCTCTGTCAAATATGTGATTTGCACATATTTTCTCCCATTCTGTATCTTGGCTTTTCATCTTCCTGACAGGGTATTTTGAAAAGCTAAACTTTTAAATTTTTATGAAGTCCAATTTATCAATTTTTCCTTTTTATAGCTTATGCTTTTGGTGTCAAATCTGAGAACTCTAGGTCCCAAAGATTTTCTCCCATGATTTTTTTTCTAAAAGCATTGTAGTTTTATGTTTCACATTTAATTCCATGGTCCATTCTGAGTTAATTGCTGTGTAAGATGTGAAGTTAAGGTCAGGGGTTTTTGTTTGTTCGTTTGTTTATGGATGTTCAATTGCTCCAGCACCATTGGTTAAAAAAGACTATTCTTTCTCCATTATTTCTCCCACAAATGTTTGGTAGAATTTGCTTATGAAACCAGCAGAGTACGGAGATTTTCTTTTGCAAAGAATTTTAATTCCTTAGTAGAAATTGGACCATGCATATTTTCCATATCTTCTTGTCCCATAGTCTTCTGTTTCAGTAAATTACATTCCTGATCATGGAGAAAAGGAACTCTACTTCAAAGGAAGAGCAAAATTTAGCATTTGCCAGCCTGACCTGGGGGTGTGCCTTGGGTTTGGATGTTGAGTGTGCTTGATCAAGGAAGCTAGAACGTAGGACTGGATAAGGGGGAACTTATTGACCTGAGGACACTCTGCTTGGATGAGGGCCATAACTTCCTAACAAGGATCCCAGGGGACGGTGTAAACTCGCTGCCAGGAGAGCTCAGAAGCCCAGAGAAAGCAGCTGCTCATGCTGAGTGAAGGCAAACTTCCGGGATTGCCGTGACAGATGGAGGAGGAAGGGGTGAAAGGGTCCGTGGAAGTGGGCGCGCTGGAAAGGATACACTACGTGAGGCTGGAAGCCCCACCAGACCATGCTCCCCGGGAGGCCCAGAGGACACGCTGTTCACCAAAGCCAACAGGGTTCATCGGGAAGAGCGGCACACGCATCCCTAGGATGCTCAGTGGCATCTTGCCTGTGTAGAGTAGGGCTGATGACAGGATTGGCTGTCACAGAACGTGGCCTATTGATAGGATGGTGCCCTCCCTCCTTGAATCTTCAAAACCCCATCTGTCGTCAGTTTTGTAAAAGTTTTAGCCATTATCTCTTCAGATACGTCCTCTGTCTCATTCCCTCCTCTCATTTGGGTTTCCAGGGAACTCCATGACAGGTACCCTACTCTATCCCCTGCATTCGCCTATTCTCTCTTTAGTAGTCTCTCTTCTTCTACTTCCTTGTGCTTCATTTTGATAGGTTTTAATTTTACCAACTTTGTGTTTAATCTGCTGTGAGGTTTTTATTTCAGTTACTGCATTTTTCCATTCTGGAATTTATTTCTGACGCTTCTAAACCTGTCATGATACTCATTATAGTTTTCCGTTCCTTGCCAACAAGGTCAAGCTTCTTTGGTCAGACATTTGTTGCATTAGCATCTGGGGTCATGTGAAGAAAACCCTTCAGAGTATGAGGTTTTCTGGACCCCTCAAGGGTCCGACGCCAGCTTCCAGGGCTGCTTCGCTTCCCATCGACCTTTATCCCAAAGCATCGGGCCCGACAGAGGCTGATTTCTTCAGGCCCCTTCGCTCGGGCAGCCCTGGACTTTTCGTTTCCCTCCAGCCCATCGAGACTGTGAAAGGTTCAGCTCGGCCACGTCTTCCGAATGGCAAACAGTCTAGAAAGGCCTCTAAGGCCAGGCTCACGTCGGTGGATACGTCCTCTTTGGGGTCTCAAACCAATAATTCCTCACTCCTTGCTTGCCTGACAATGCTCTCTCTTATCAGGGAACTGCATTTCTAGTAAATCTGTTTCAAGTGGAACATGGGCACATTGAGGGACTGCTTCCTAGTGGTTCATTGAGAGTTTGGGACTTGCTTTGGTCTGCAGTTTTGATGCCAACATTACTAGCTGTGGCCTGGGGCAAGTTTCTTAAGCTTACTGAACCTGTTTCCTTGTGTGTCAAAGAGGGATAATCAGAAAATGTGCAGCACAATGATGTTTTGATGATTGGGCAATGCATGTGAATCCCTTCGTACAGGCTGTGGTTCATATTAAGTCCTCAAAAATGGTTAGTCCTCATTTTTTTTTTTTTAATCCTCACCCGATGCTTATTGATTTTAGAGAGGGGAAAGGGAAGGAAATAGGGAGAGAAATATCGATGTGAGAGAGAAACTTTGATCAGTTGTCTCTCATACACGCCCGAACAGGATAGAACCCGCAACCCAGGTATGTGCCCTGACCAGGAATCGAACTGGCAATCTTTTGGTTTACGGGATGATGCGCCAGCCAACTGAGCCACACTTGCCAGAGCTGTCTGCATTCTTAAGAAAGTTGAATTTATGAAAATGCACAAATGTGCATGATAGAATGCCTTGCTTTCGTGTTTACTTAAGTGGTGGATTTCCCTGGTGCATATAAATTTGCATTTGTTTTTAATGCTTTGCTTCTCCTGCAGCCTTTGAGCAATGTGTCCCTGGCATAAAGTCTGGTGTCATTGCAACAACAGTCACCCCCTTTCTCTTGCCTTCCCTTCCTACTCAGATGTCCCTAGTCACTCCATCCCATTCCTTCCAGCCGATGAAACTGATTTATTAGGGGAAACAAAACAAAATAAAGAATAGCCAGAAATCCAGTATTTATTTACTCGAGAAAGCAAGAAAAAAAATCTTTATTATTCTAGCAAATTTAACAGAGTAAAGGACTCACACAAACTCAATAAGCGTCCATGGCTAAGTTCGGTCCAGCGCACCCAGACACGGGCACACCGTCATTCGCTGTCACCCTGAACGTGAAGAGACCACTGTGTGACTGGGGGAGGACCGGGGCGGGAGCGGGTGTTAGATGATTTCTCAGAGGGAGCCTCAAGTGAATGAAACAATTTACGTTTAAATTCCTTACTAAGTTAAAGAAGGGTTTCAGAATGTGGTTAGTGGAGGGGGAAGGACTCACAGGACAGGGAACTTCAGAGGTGGCAGGGACATTCCCCTAGTTCGCGTCCTTGCTGCCCATGGGCACACTGAGTCACATGTCCCCTTGGGGGGTCTCCTTCATGTTGGTGATGTAGTCTTGCACCCAGGCATCGCTGGGATTGGCACAGATATGCCGGCCCTTTTTGGTGAGAAAGCTGTAGGGAAGGGAGAGTGTTACAGAGAGGACAAGCAAAGATGTGCTTGGCCACCTGGGGCCCCTTGGTCTTCAGCCCTGTGGGCAGCTCAGGGCCTTGTCCCAGAGTCATTCCCCAAACCTCAGGGACCTCTGAGCTATTTACAGAGACAACCTCAGGTCACCTCCTTCCTGCTGCCTCTTTCTCGCCTCTCTTCCCTCTACTCCTGGGCACACGTCGCTGGCTCCCAGCAGGCCCCATTTCACGACAGAAAGCCGCCCCAGGGGTCTCTTTCTTTGTCCTGCATGCACAGGAGACCCCCAGAGGGCCAGGCTTTCCCAGGATGGCTCCTTATCCACCGCTCGTGAGCCTGTGAGCTGCTCCCCACTCAGACTCCTATGTCCTGCGTTGTCCCAGGGATGGGCGAGGGCTGACACTTACACAACACCAAGGTTGGAGCACTGGCCGCTGGTCTTAAAATAGGAAACCACAAGTTTGCGGGGCATCTGCCTGGGCGTGTAGGACATGCAGCAGGTGGGAGCGATGACGTAAGTCCTTTCTGTGGGGAACAAGGACAACGGGGGCCGCTCAGGAGGACAGGCAAGCCCGAGAGGACCGGAAAGAAGCAGAGAGATGCGCGGCTCAGCGATGAGGCATAGGGGCAAGGAAACTGGAGAGAGTTTGGATTTTTTTGTTTCTCATTAACTTCCTCAGTCTTGTCTTTTCATTTTGTCTCTTCATTTCAGTCTCTATCTTACTCTACAGGATACCCGGCTCTAGATGGTCTATTCCCTTTTCCTAAATCTCTTTCAGGGAAATGTCTTTTTTAATCCATGAAATCATAAACTAGCTAGGTGAGAGTAGGGACCATTCTTACAACTCTTGGGAACAGCTAAAGTGATTCTACAACTTACCAGCCCCCACAGGATCTAAACAGACCTCGATGCTGCCTCAAGCTAATAATTAGCCCAATAAATGAAACTTTAATGATCTCATCCAAAAAACAGTATAAAGCCCCTAACTCCCACCCTGCAACCCAGCTCAGGAAGCTTCATTTGAACCCTCCTGAAGAAAACAACAGTGTTATTTTGAAACTCTATTCAAGTTTCTCTAATTTCCCACGGGGCTTCTCAGGCCAGAGTCTTGGAAGATGGGATCTCACTGGTGGCTGGAGGGTGGGGAGCAACTGTCATTAAAGGAACGTGGATGACAAACTCACCTTTCTGATAGGCGCAGAGGGCCCTGGTACAGAGGAGGACAAGGACAGCCGCCCCAAGGACCTTCATGACGGTGGCAAGCGGGCGGAGGAGTGTGGGCGGGGCTGAGATGGGGCTTTGGAAGCCACGCCTGCTGGCCCCCTGCTGGGATCTGCACTCTCTGCCCTTCTTTTATAGGCAGCCCCGGGCAGTGGGAGCATAGAAATTAGAGGTGCCTATAGGCAAGAAATTTGACATATGGTGGTGTCATGTGACGTGGACAACCCAGGGTTGCCTAGGTTACGACAGAGGTTTGGGGCATGCACAAGAATGGTTGAGTTGCTGATTTGATTGAGGCACTTATGAGGAAGTTGTTTCTCCAGATGTGTGACAGAGAATTGGCATCGTTCAGGAATCACACTTAGCTGTTTCCTCTTCACATGACAGTTCTCTCTCTGAAGGGAGGAGTCACAGCCTCTGTCCGTGGAACAGGGTGCTCTGATGGACTTCCACAGTTGTTCAGACCATGTAAATGTGCCCTGTGTAATAATGCCAATGGATCTCGAGCAGTATAAGCCACACCATAAATGGAAGATACAGACTGGAAAAGCCTAGAGGTACAAGAATGATCAAAGTGAGGATTAGCCTTCCAATAACTGGTCTATTTATCAAATGTTTATCATAGACCTGCAATGAGGTCTGGATATAACACCGGGTGTGGTCAACAGTCTTAAAAATGTCCCTACTCTTTGAACTGGAAACCTTACTTCTCATAATCTATCCTATGGAAACGACCCCACAAATGTAGAACATATTAGGGACCACGTTGTTTAATGCAGCTTATCTATTCTCAAGTAACTGGCAGCAAGCTACAAACTCTACAGTCTTGGAATGATAAAGCAAACCCACTGATGGACCATTAATTAGGCAGCCTCTTAAACAAATAGAGTGACATGAAAATACTTGATATTTAATATTAAATATTAATAGGCAAGATGCAAAATGTCATATGTAATTTTATTTCAAAAATCCTGGGAAGAAAAAAAAACCCCAGAAAGAAATAGAGCCTCCTACCTATGCCGCTCCTTGTCCGATGGGCTGTCTCTCCTCCACAAGCCCTGCCTCTCCCCAGGACGGAGACAGGGTACTGACATTACACGAGGGCGGGAACACTGGCTGTTAGTGTCACTATGATCAACAAATTTGTGACAGACCTGGAGAGAGGCAAGCGAAGGCATGGAGCGTGGGCCCAAACCATGAGGAAGTAGCAATCAAGAGCCTGAGAAAAGCCAAGTTGACTTCTCCCACTCCCTGAGGAGAACCAGCAAAAAGATGACGGAGCTGTCACTGCTCAGGGCTGCAGAGCGGGGCACAAGGGGAACTAAGAAAGGGAAGCACTTCTTCTTTGCCTTGAGTTTTTGTTTTGAATCTCTGCCTCTGTCTTTCTCTGTCTTCAGGGAGTATAGCTATTGGAACAGTTGACCCATGTTCCCTCTCTTTTGCGGAACGTCATCTGGTCTACAGATAGTTCTGTAGAGCCTCCAAAGGGAGGAGGTCCTTGGGGGAGCGGAGGGGAATCTGCCATTTGGCTCGTCCTAGGAATCAGCTGGACCTTGCCTTTGCACCTTGTTCATGACTGAGTTAGGCCTCCATGGCCAAGTGAAAATGGGCCCTAGCCCCCCTCTGCCCTTCAGATCCAGAGACTAGGCTGGACAAAACTCCTTGGGATATAGCCCAGGACATTTTGAAATCTTATGTAAAGTTCTTTGCTTTTACTTAGGGAATCTCAAGCCATAGGACTTAAATGGTACGGTTTAGACATCCCAGAGTGTTGGACAGAACTCTAAAAGGAAGAAAGGATGAGGGCCAGGAGAACTTTGCAGTGCAGATAGCACCTGTAAGCCGAGGGCAACCATGGGAAGCTGAACGATGTTGGGCGGGCAGAGGAGTGTGGGCAAAGCCAAGCTGGGACTGGACATTTGTGGCTGCCTACATCCATTTGGTGTCCAATCCATGTCCCCGCCTATTTATAGGCAACTCCAGACCGTTATGAGCTGGAGGCTGGGGATACCAGAGGGTAAGTTGTTGCATGGTGTCATGTCATGAGCTGCACGTGCTGGAGTACCTGGGTCACATGGAGGTTCAGGGTTACAAGAACAGCTCCATTGCTCACTTGTTGGGACCGATTGTGTGGAAATGTTTTGGACAGTGAGAGGAGGTGAGATGTTGGTGTTCAAGCTGTAAGTACATGGAGAGAGAGAGCCACAAATTAACAGTTCCTCCCACAGGGCAGACGTGACGATTGCTACAGCTCTTCTGATCACGTAGGGTGACATCTGTAGTGATGCCACAGCATCCGGGGCACACAAGTCACACTTAAACCACACCCGGGGTGAAAAGGACCATAGCATCATGTTGATTGGAGTGCTGCTAAGGAACTGATTAACCAATGAGGAGGAAGCCAGGAGTTATCACCAGGATACCCAGCTTAGCTGGTTTCTTCTACCATGAGCAGATCTATCGATGAACTATACCATTCCCTTTTCTCTTCCACAGAGCACAGACGTCTAATGTTCTTCACAGGTGCGACATGTATCTGAGGTCACAGTCTTAAGTAGCCTGAGCCATGTTTGATCCAGCCCCAGGTGGACAGGATGGACCTGGAGAATCCTGGGCTCCAGGCTTGACAGGTGTGCTGAGGCCAGCCCTTTCATCGCTGTCTCATTCACCCAGCATTCATAAGTCCCTGCCGTGTACCATCAGTGTGTTCAACAGTGGGGAAAAGAAATGAGCATGCATTAGCTGTGGGCTGTCTATATAGATTAGAAGACTTACCTGTCCTTATTTTTTGACCCAGAAATTCTACGGCTAGGAAAATATACTATGGAAATAACATAATTTGTAGAGAAAGTTTTGTGCCTATAGATGTTTGGTACAGTTTATTTATAACAACTACAAGTTGGAACCAGCCCAATGTGCTACAATAGTGTATGATAATACTAACGCACTAGGATCATGATCGAATAAATTAGGCAGCCCCTACAAATATTGGAATGGTTTGGGAAAAGTCTTATGATGCCAAGTATAAATAAGAAAAATACAAAATGACCTCCATATTGTGACTACAATAGTGCCCCCCAGCCCATAGTAAAAAGAAGTAAAAAAAAAAAAAAAAAAAAAAAAAAGGGAAAACACAAGTATCATAGCCTAGGGAAAAAAAGATGCATTTGAAAGAAATAAACCAAAATTTTGTAGTGGTTAGATTTGGGTAATAATTTTTTTTACCTTCAAGGAAAGAAATTTTACTCAGGTTATACCTCAGTAAGATAGACTTCATAGATGCCACAATAAGACAGGAAGAGTGTAGAGGAAAACCTTCCACATCCTTACTGGCATTTGCCTTGCTGTATACCCAGCTTGCAGAAACAAAGTAAGTTTTTATTCTTTTCTGTACTTTACATATATTTAAAATTGGCTTTTACCACTTTGGGGAGCAATCTACAGTTCATATTTCAAATCATATAAAAATATTGAATGAAAACACTAGTAACATTGCTTTTTTTCCTGTTCCTAAATGATTCCCTTCTATGTCTGTTGGTGAGATTTTATGAAGATATGATGCCTGAGCAGTCGCAGCCATTTTGTAACCATGAGGTAACAAGCCCAAGGAAGAAAACCCAACAAAACTAAGCAGGGAAGGGGAGATGTTTTAAGGAAAGAGTCTTTAATGATATCATTGAGCTTTCAGACTAACCCTGGGAATACCACTGTGGCTTTTTAATAAGAAAACAAAATATTCTAGGATTTTTGAGGAACAAGGACTTCCTTTTAAAATTTATTTACTTTCTCAGTTTTTAAGGACTAATTATTATTATAAGAGTTGAATATACTACAATTTATTTAATTGTAGGCCATCTTTTAATGTAACTAACCCTGTAACTAACACCGTTATGTGTACAACTTTCTTCATCTTTGTGTTTATGTTTATAGTAGAGATCCCTGGGAGGCTGCCTCACCAGCCAACCCAGGGCCCAGCTGTTTTGTGTCAGTCTTAGCCTGTATCCATAGCGATTCTATTGTAGCCATAGAAATGCCCGGGGGGCGGGGCACTAATGCATTTCCCAGACTGGGGCCAGTGTATGGCTGGATCAGCCTTTGTGAGTCTCCTAATGATTGCAAGACACACCTCAGTGACCACCAATGGGGGACTTTGAAAAGGTGACGTTCGTGACTCCCAAGTCCTGGAGGGCACACAGCAAGCCTGGAGCTACACACCAAGGGCGTGACCAGAGCCAGAGCACGTAGACCTGGGGTTCTGCCTGTATTGGGGTCAAAGGAGGGTGCCTAAGGTTGCGTGGACTCACTCTTTATTGCTGAATTTTAAACACAGGAGTGGGAATGAAAGCTCAGAAAAGGAAAAACAGGGCCAATCAAGTGGTCATTGTCTAGGCCACCCAGGGCGCCCTAAAAGGTGAAATTCACAAGCGGGGCAGCCTGGGTCTTTATCTAGTTGGGTAGCTGGCAATATGTGTATTCTGGATGGAGATCTTTGCAATGGATACCTCAGCAATCAAAAAGCTTAATGTCAGACCCTTACATTACAATCAAAAAAGACAATTGTCAGGCACTCACGCTGCTCCACCGGCCTACAGGGAGACGGTGAGATGCAGCAAACGTTTGGTGAATGACCACACCCTGAGAGGCTAGCTCCGTCTTGTCCCTTCTGTGGCAGAAACTTCCCTGGTGCTCAGTGTGTGGCTTTCGCTTTTAGCTCGGGTGGTGCTTCTCCAGACTCCAAGGCACCGTCATCTCTGTCACATCTGTGCCATGGGAACAGCTCGGGTGGAAGTCAGTAGGTTCAGCTCTTTGCGAGAGCTGCCTGAGCTACAGACCTGCTCTCGTGAGAAGGCACCCGCGAGCCTGGTCTCCGGGTCACACCAGCATCTCGCCGCCTCCCACTGTGGAAACCATATCCTAACCGAGTCATCAGCTCAACCATTTCTGCCAACAGCCTGAACCCCTGCGGCGACCCAAAGCTCTCCTGGCTCATGCGACTCCCAGCTGAACAACCCACATCATGATTAAAAATTTCCCCTCAACACTGACAATGAAGAGAAGACATGGCTTAGACCCCAGAGGCTGCAGTTCCCCCAGTCCCCGCTCTCCCTGGCCTCCACTTGAGCTCACACTCTGCAGCCCAGCATCAGGGAGCTCCCCGTGGCTGCCCTCGCTGTCTGGCCCCTTGGCCCGCTCTGCCTCTCGCGAGCCTGTCCTCCTTTCTTCCTTTTGCCCCGGGCCCTCCACTCCCTGGCCATGGTGTGAATCACAGCACCAAATCTCGTGCCTGAGACCCTCTGAGCAGAGAACGTCAGAGGGATTTCGGCG